CTTGAAAATTCATTTCGGCGTCATCATTTACTAGATTTAACTACTTTATCTCGCCTATAACTTCACTCTTTGATAAGCAGCCAAACGAAATTTCCCCTGATCTGTTCTGCGAGAAGAAACCGTGTTCCACAAGGAAAATCTATACATAAAGAAACGTTGACTGAAGACAGCATATCCTGTTTGACCAGTGGAAGACAATCAAAGACTTCCGCGTTTTTTTTTTCGTACCTTCGTCAAAATTAAATAATGCAAGACAAAATTTAATCGTTGAAGGGACTGTGCCAGACTAGTTATTAGACTGAGAAACTGAGGGAGACGAATGATGTGCCTCTTTTTTTTCGGAAAACCCACCACTACATTTTTCATACCCACTAGGAACTGAGAAAGGTTTTCTTTTCAATATGAAATGAAGGTTTAATAATGCGAAGAACATACAGTTACAAATGCCTTCCGTTCTTTTCTTCACCCAGTCCCTCCTATCCGTTCTGACACCCCTAACAGTTGATTTCTCCAAGTTTATAACTTTCCCTTGTCCAATACACTCAATGGTGTGTCTGCTCTGGTGAAATGCAGAATAAGAAACGTGCATACCAAGGTTCGGACATTGAGAGGACAAGATAGCAAAACAAAAGCACCACTCTGAGTGCCCATTCTTTGAAAGCGCTAATCGTATCAGCTGAACACTAAGCGCTAATTTTATTACCGGAAGGCTCTTGTATGTATACTTTACCGATTCGTAGGTTTAATGTTCTTAAGATAGAATTATGCCTATTTGTGGTGTTATTCATAGTCTATTATACATGTCCGTCCAGCATCTGTACTACAAAATCAATAGTGTACAAAAGATTTTGGTGTGATTTTCTTACTTAGTTTTTTTGAACAATATGGCCCTACGAAAAATTGAATTAGGGAGATACTTTCAGCTGCGTGAAGGCTTTCGAAAAAAGCTAATCTATCAAGGCATGTGAAAGATGTACTTTCAATCATTAAAACTAATATTCGACTACCACGACAACCACTGCTAGATTTATCCGGGGTTCACCCTTCTCCAGTATTTTTATGATATTTCTGCTTAGTAAATGCTTAGTAAAAATTACTCAACATAGAGCAGGATGTGTGCTGTACCGGTTCCTACCTTACTTTTATTGCTTTTTAATTAAGACTAATTAGAGGGAAGAATAAAACACAAAAGAAAAAATAGCGAAATTCTTACGGATTCGTCAAAGATCTGCAAGATAAGGCTTGCTTTACAATAGCGCAAAAAAATTGACATTATCTTATTCTAGCTAATCCTTGCATTATCTGATTTCCATCCGCTATTAGGCTGAGGTATAAAGGAGTATTTGAGCCAGTTTGGACTGTCCAATATCTGCATCATGATTATATGGACTCTTTGGTAGATATTGGTATGTTCAGACTGATGGATAGATAAGTAATTAATTGGTTGAGTTAGTCTCTTTAGTGGTAATCCCAAAATCTTAATTAAACGCGGTGAGAACAAGTGGAAACTCCTAAATCTCTTCTGAGTTTATCGTCGGAATAACAAACCATTTATTTATTTATTTATTTATTTATTTATTTATTTATTTATTTATTTATTTATTTATTCATTTTATACGCACAAAGCATGGCACTTCTGAAACAATCAAGAAAGTTTTAGACATAGTCACTAACAAAGAAACCACAAAAAAGCTTCCATAGAATCAGTTCAAGTCCAGAGGGATTGAGTCTGTGTAGACCATGTATGAATCATTTCATCGGTGTAGAGGAACAATGGAGTCCAACGTATATCAAACTCTTCGTAGGACGGCCTGGGTGACCATACAATTCTTCGTTATAACATCAAACTGAAATTTGTGAAATGCCGAGACACCTATTTTAGATTTTCTGGCTTTGAGGCAGTGTCCAAGCAAATCTGGATTTAGACTTTTTATTTACATGCTGTTGTGAGGCCTCAAAACTACCATTGCACAATTCACATAACATTGTAGCACTTTCGAGACTTCCCAAAACAGTCTCCTCGTGTACAGTAAAATTTACCGTTTGTTTCCGGAATTCCAAACAGGATCTGTTGCTCACGAATACATCACATGAGTTGCCGGTTGAGCAATGACTTGGTTAAGACTTCCCAATTATTCCTCAATAAAAATTTCGGTCCAAATTTGCGTGGGTGCACTGTCTCCGAAATATGTTACGAATGCGTTCACCATACGGACAAAAGAACTAGTAGCCGAGAATTCCGTTCCGTTTAAACAGCTGCTGGAGAAAATATCACTGCTCACGTAATGATACGCGAAAAAGTAACAAGGATTACTGCACAATTCGCATCAGCTTCGATACGAACTAGGAAACTGATAACGTAAAATTAATATTAGCGTGAAGGTGCATTTCTGGCGTTGAGCTTATGAGTCACGAAAAAATAAATAGTAGCACCAAATGAGCAAACATTACAAAGCCTGATATCCGTGTTCTGAGCTAGCTGTTTGGGTTGACCAAAATTTCTGTGTGGAACTTAGTGCAAATCAGTGCAAAGCAATTCGTTTATTATGCTTCTGCTAGCACAACATATAGTCTGTATGGCTTAAGGCATATCCCATGCGATTTCAGTTGCCACGCGATCTGGCAATTTGCCAGATCTCTTCAAAATCAATAATGGTAGACCCCAGGGCACAGCACGTATAATTTTCGTAGGTTGATAAAATGCCCCATCTTCCGTAAATTCAGTAACCCATTAAAGGCAGTGTCCCGGCAGATTCGGGTCCTGGGGGATATTGGTGTGGTGGGGTTCCTGGTCACCCCACCGACCTCCAGGCGCGGTCCGGCTGGGTGATGTTCCCCCTGGGCCGAGAAAATGGCCCTTGAACCTGCGCGCGCGAGCCCAACTGGCGCGCGCTTGGACGGCCTTCCTTTTCTGTTCGGCGCGGGACCCCACGAGCGCTCTCCCCATGATGCATGCTATCCAAAGCAAGAATTACAGCCAGCAGGGTCTTCGTCTGAGGACCTCCCGTACCTTTCCATTAAAAATCTCGTCCGGGCTGCTTTTTTGGAATTAAGAAAACGCCCCAAAATCGGCCTTTTCAGCCCGTTCAAAGCTCAAATTCGGATTCTGCGTGGCGAAAAGGCCTGAAACATGCAAAAGGATGGAGGTGCAAAATCTGCCGGGACACTGCCTTCAAGGGCCGGGCATACTTCACGCGATTTCAGTCGCGACGCGATTTGGCAATATTCCAGCTGTCCGTAACTCATTGTAAGCACATTTTAAATGTATAGAATATAGGGCATTTTATCGATCCCTGTAAGTTACAGACACTATGCATGTCCAGCTTGCTAGTGTTGGATTTGAAGACTTCCGGCGAATCACCTAATCGCGTTGCGACTGAAATCGCGTGAAGTATGCCCGGCCCTTTACGATGAGTTATGACCAATTGGAGTATTCCCAAATCGCATCGCGACTGGAATCGCGTGAGGTATGTTTTCGGCCTGGGTGCAGCTCATTACAGTGGAAACGTCGACCGTTACCAATGTTACCTGGCTATGGTTTGCCCCTGATCTTCACATCCTTTCATCTCTTTTATATTGCAAAATTTTTTTTTCAGAAGTCTTTGTTACCATACAAAGGCATAGCAAGAAACAACATGCGCACATGAAACGTAAATATCTATAGAAATTTATTTCTTTGCATTCGCTCAAATATTGCATGTGGGATTATATAATGTCACTCACATACATACCTTTTCACAAAGACTTTTTATTGTCGTAGATCATGATAAAAGCTAAATATACCCGAGCTCGGACAATTGTTTCAACTCAAAAAGTTCATCAGGTAATCCGTACAAAACTGACTTCTAAATTCAATCAAATTTGAAATTGAGTAAAACACCATATGACAAGAATTCCTTCATTCAGCTGGTGAGACAAAGTCAGTTGGTATTTGATAAGCGAAGGTTGGGTAGTCAAGTCTGAAAACGGTCAACCGAACCGAATAGTCAACTCAGGTGATGGTCCAAACTGAGCTTTCTTCGTAGTCTAAACCACCTGTGCTCTTTTCTCTACTTCAGCGTTTAAAGCAAAACGTTGTACCTGATTGATGAACTTTGACTCTTCTCAATCATTCTTGATGTACATAATGGCCATACCTAACATGCTTCGAGCGTCAGAATAAATTGTATATAAATATATCATAGGGAGACGAGCGTTTTGGGGACGCCGCGAAAACCAGCGGATTCCATCTTAAACCCGGGCAGATGCCTTCTAGCCTTCTACGAAGCAGTATTTTCTGATCAGAGCAATCCTGAGTCGCATGACTCTCAAGTAGTTTTGTGAAGTAATCTCTCCTTGAATTATACGGGACATATTTTTTCGAGATTATGGCTAGGGTCGAAAATTCTATCATTATTCAATATCATTTGGTGTCGTAGCATTGTAATAACTTACCTTTAGCCATTTTAAAATTTATTTGTAGAACTTACTAATCTTATATTTCATCTATTGGGGATGAACAGTCCATGTGATATCTTCGAAGAGAATCCTATACAAACGTTATCGTTTTTTAGTAAATGCTTATTAGGAAAGGATTACTTTACGCTGAAGCCCTCGAGTGATCTAGTTTATGCTTATAACTTTTAAAGAATAATACGATGTGCTTAAGAAAACCGAAGTGCTTTTAGACGAAGAGGAGAGATTGTGGGCCACACATTTGCTTAGAAATTTCAAATTACAAAGTGATTGACTTCCGAACGAGTATCTGAAATTTTCGGCTCCAGCCATGAAGATTAGCAATCAGGCTATGCCATTTTCGTGGATACCCAAGTAGCCTTTCCAGCAGCACTAATTGCTAGGAAAATGTTGCCTTCAGACGACATTCCACATTGCCGAAAACACAACGATGTAATGACGCTGACTAGCGCATCTTCGGCTAAAACAAAACGACCCCAGAGTGGCTTGATGAGGTCAGATGCGAGTGCCACGCCCGCTCCAATACCGTATACCGCGCGCTGATGACGACGTCCGGGGCAAGCGGGCGGCGTCAGCGAGCCGGCCGTCGTCGTCAGACATTCGCAGGATGCGCGGACTAGGAGCAAGTCTGTTGCTCGCCACGCTCTCCACCCTGGTCCCAACGACGACCGCTGCCCCGGAGCCGCCAAAGAATTGCAATGAGGTGGGTCCTGGCTTGATTGGGAGTCTAATTAGTCAGTGGAGGTAAAGGCAAACTAAAAGTAGACTCCTTGACTTTTTGAAGATAGAGAGATTTTTTTATATTCCTAGACTTCGTATTGTTCTTGCGCTTTAAATAAAGCAAACAATTAACTTTTCAATTTTAGACTTGTTTCATAAGCAACTGATTTTCTTTACATAATCTAAACTGGTCCAAAAAAGTGAATTTTTCTGAGGAATTTTGGCAAATTTCCAACTACTCTAACAGTCATCTATCTAGTGAGGTATTCTTTTGCGCCCCTAGACATTTACTGCATTTTGAAAAAGAAAAAGAATATCGATTGCTTATGTTACGGATCTAAAATGAAAGAGTACTTTTTGGCAGTAAGCAATTGATGTTCTATGGATAACAATTGTTTGCAAAAAGGTTTTTCAGGAGATCTGGAAAATTTCCAATTGGTCCGATAACCTCTCCATTTTCCCCTGCTGAAGCAACTCACACTTTCAAGTCTACAGATTTTGGGAATTCTCTGTAATTGCACGAAAGATAGAATGAACCGGGCTCTAGGGAAGAGTACTCCATCTTAAAATGTTTCCAAGCCCAATTTTCTATCTTCTTTTCATGTCTGTTCGAAACAATTCTCAGGGGTCTTATGGGGTTTTTAAGTGCAAATTTGTCACGGCGACATCTTTACCACGAGCAGTTCAGAAATTCATTTGTTCCACTTGTTTATTTTGCGTCCCAAGTGAGTGCGCTTCCACTTGGTGTGCCAAAAAACTTGATAGTATAGTGATTACGCACTATGACGTTAATCTTTGATGTTCACTATTCTTAGAATTGCGGCAATTTTTATGAGGATGTTAAAAATTTGCTCCACTGAACGTTTTAGCGGATGCGAAAAGCAAAACCAACATTTGAAAAAGTCGTATGCCCATTGCAAACTTTTAAGTAACCCTCGTCATTAGGCTTCTTTCTAAAATGAATTAACCCAAATTAATTTTTAGTAAAATTGGTATGCAAGTCATTCCATTGCTTGAATAATGATGAGACATTGTTGCACTCATGCAACAAATGATAAATTGAAGTCTAAGAGATGCCTCAGCAAATTTTCCCACATTCGGCGCTTTCCCTGACTTAAAATTTTTTTTTGGATAAGCCTGTAACCTCGTAAAAATGCATGTTAGACTACAAAGCTGCACAATCTTACTCTCGTAGCGAAGATGGAATAAAAGTGCACATAACTCGATTTCCGTCTGGGGCAGGTTTCAGGTGTCATTTTAGTTAAGTAACGAAGAACGGAAGTAACATAAATGTAGTCAGGCATGAAAAAACAAAACAAAAAAAAACAATTTTTTGATACGTCGGATAATCTTGACCAACATTTCCAATGGTTACAAAATGATGACCACTCAACTTTCTGTATTATGAAACAAGCTGAACCAAGAACAAAAATTTTGTTTTTTGAAATAGGGAACTCCATTTTCTGCTTTGTTTAACTATTCTTTTATGACACTGCTCACGGAAATTTATGAAGCAGTCTCAGCTCAGTTACCAGTAAACTCATCTCAGTCAATGATAAGTAATCCTCTTCGGTAAATTTATTACTTTTTTGGCAACGAAACTTGTTTGTTGATTCCGCTGCAAAAAAAAGTAAAAGTAAGCGGGAGTATGATCAAAACGAAATTTTAAGTCTTTTTTTTTCAAGCAGAAAGGGATTTTATGAGCGAGGAGATATAAGATGTCATTCATGACTTTTCTCACGCACTTCACTGATCAAAAACCTTGCCTGAAAATCATCTCAGCATGAATAAAACAGGAACTGCTGCATTTGGAAACACATACAGCCATTTGTGGAAGTGTTAATTTCTAAAAAAACAGATTACTGCCTTTCTATGCAGATAACCCTCTTTCTGTGCAAAATTCTTTGTGTAGTACTAGATTGTCTGCAAACATTTTTGAAGATTTTGATAAGCATCTGTCAGTCAGGGAAGGTTCGCTGAAGTTCTCGTGGGAAAAAGGAGGATATTTAGTGGAACTTGCAAAATGCAAGTCTAAAAGGACAAATTTTAAGTCAGGCTCAACAAGACGAACCTTGCTTTAGTTGTTGCCTCTATTCAGCTTTGTTCTTATAACAAGAGTTATCAGCTAATATATCCAGTTCAACTGATCCAAATTGTGTTCCATAAAAAATTGAGGGTAAGATGCCTTTTTGTTGTAACAAATGATTATGTGCGTACTTTTTCTTGTTCTCTAAAAACCTAGGTCAACAGCCTGATATTTGTTGAATCCTCGTGACTATGATTTATGCGCAAATCCCCAATGGCAGGTCACTGATTCCATTTGCTATGCATCAGAAATAAATGGCAGCAATTTTTTCATGAATAAGTTGTCCTCGTTAGTTTACGCTAGAGTAAAAGTTATAAGAAAGTAGAAACAAGACTAGGAAGAAATAAGCTGCATTAGACAATAATCTTATAGAAAAAAGTTCACGGTATGTCCACTTTCCAGACGGAAATTTCGATCGCCTCAAAATGGCATTCGCTAGATTGTATCATAATTTATAATGTAATACGTCTTCTTGGGGTCCTGTCCACTACACTTTTCCCTTTATTCTATTACTCCCTGGAGACCTCGTTATTTCACTTAACGAGTTCCACTGCCCGGAGCCCTTTTCTCAATTTTTGTCCTTTGAGCGCGAAGTTCACATGCCTTGTATATAAAAGATTGCTAGGTTCTACCCTAACAACCGTTACTCCTCCGAAATTCCAGCAAGTGCCAATTCAACTAAAACTGAGAAATTAATTGAAGGTTGAAAATTTAAGCTAGGTGCTTGGCAATTTCTCGGTTTCTCAAATTGGTAGAAAGTTTCCTTTGCCTTCTCAACCGGCTCGTATGGCAAGAGCAAGTGTGGGTACACGTTACAAAGAATGTAATCTGGAGCTGTGGAATATGGTGGTATGAAATTGTAGTCAAAAGTTTTCAATTTTTATCTCGACGTGTCCAGATAAATTTTTGTTCCTATTCAGCCGCGATCGATTTCAAATGTTATTTTGGCCTTGTTGAATTTATAACAATGAGTGCAGGAAGGCATCGAAATGCGCTTTGTGGTCTTAAGTAAGCTCATAATACATGGATTGAACCACAAGTTTTCCTTTTTTTCCGGAACACGGACTTACTGTTGGCCAGAGGCCAAAAATTAGGGTGCTGAATATGCAGTTGCGTGCAAGAGCTATGACACATCTGCTGACTTATTCCTGACATAACTCTTATAGATCAAGATGTAAAGGACGTCTATACTTGGTATAAGATTTTCCTATAAAAGGTCGTTAAAATAAGAAGGAGAAACAGCTTATTTTATAAAAAATGAATGACGACCTCTAGATCTTTGCTCAGAGAACTCTCTGCTTTATTTTGTTTACTTCTTAGTAAACAAGGGCTTGAAATGGAGTGACGGGGAAAGGCGACGGCAAGTGTTTTTACTTCCCACTCCCCCTCTAATGAATTGTTTTGGTTTCAACCAAAAAGAGTGAGGGTCCGAAGTAGCGGAAGAGGAACAAAAAACTTCGGAGTATTATGGAAGGTCACTCTTTTTATCCGAAGAAATTGAGATCACTTTTAGAGGAGATAAGGGGTAGATAAAGTGATTATCTCCTCAGATGTGAAGTTTACACGGATATGATTATTCAGCCATAATTCTTCGAATAAGTTTGCTCAGAGAAACAAAACTGGAGCCATATTCCATAGACAAATCTTTAAAGTATGGTTGCAATTCCATAACGTTAGAAAAATAGTCGAACTGTTTCGCTGTCTTCTTTGGGTGCTGATCAATTCCCTCGGGTTTTACTGATTAAGGCCATGTCTCTGTACTAGGCCCCCTACAATGTCGTGAAAACAACGTAATGATGTCGTGAAATTGTCTTCGAAGGTCAAAATGTTTGTCGTTTAGATTCTAGCGAATGGTGGAGACCAACAAGAATTACTTTTATGTCAACTAAGCGAAAGCAGTACGTTATTAGCTCAACTGGGCATTCTCGTCTCAGAAGGTCTCGACAGATTCATGCAGAATCAAGGTGAGCCTAATATTCTAAAATTAGCTCGTACCACTCCGGAATCAAAATATTCTGTTGTGGTAAGAGCCTAATTTTTTTTGCAGATGAATGCAAACTCGCCACATTTGAAATGCAGACATATAAACACTATGATGAAGGGTTATTATTGTTACGTAGATGCCAACACAAATTAGGTTGCCAAAATTCTGATCAAAAACCATAGAGAAATGCAACAAATAGACTTCTTTGATATAATTCTCCGTTTTTCCCAAACCCTCTACCCTTTGACTTGCATAGTTCCTCATCTATGTTCTAGAAAAGCAAAAGGGTGAAAACCGATGAAACCGATTCCGAACCGCAAATTTCACGAGATGATTGAATTTACAGCGGTGTTGGACTATTAAATTCAATTGTAAGCAAGGAACAAAGAAGAGAAAAACTTAGTTCCGGCATAAATGATTTTTCTGCAGACAATGCTCGCTTTTCCAACCGGAAAATTTTTTGTTTCAAAATTTTTCTGAGTGACAGCGAATCTCATACTTTGCAACTTCGGTTTCATTTATGGGAAGACGGGATGATGCAGACAACTGACATTCCTCCGTGCTGTAATTGTTTCAAGTGCCTCTTTTCATAAGCTAATTCAAGCCGTCCTTCTTAGCAAAAAATTTTACGAGCGAAGAGCATATAATTTTGGCTCTCGAAGCTCTCGTAGCTCTAGCTCTCCATTTTTTGCGAAAAATGTCTCATCAGAGTGAGGAAAAAGCATTTGTTTTTGGGAATTTGCTAGTTCCAAGGTTGGGATCAAAGTTAACATCAAATGCAGGCATAGTGCAGTTGATTTTATATTTTTTATATGCTTCTACTTCACTAAAATCAAAGATCACCTTCTGGTGATCCAAATTCAAACAGTTCTTACAATTAGAAAATTAGCCCTACTTGACGTTTGGACTTTTCATACATAAAAACTTATTTTTTGTCATGGCCAACTTTTCTTCTTCGCTTTCCTTAGGAACTAAACTCCACTATGTTTTAGGTATTAGTGCAGAGCAACCAAGCGAAGTCGAAACTGGTGTAGAAAAGAGGAAACACGAGTATCTGAGATTCGGCAAGAGAAAGCACGAGTACTTGCGATTTGGAAAGAGAAAGCACGAATATTTGAGGTATGGCCAAGGTGCATTTTGGGGAATCACAAAAACATATAGGTAATGAAAGGAATGGAATAGCCACTCAAACAGAATAGGAACGACATTTCGATCCTAGACAAATTTTTTTAGCCATAGTAAAGCCTGGTGATTGTCATAGCAGTTTAGCTAGACCAACGTTTAAAACTGAAATCTATTTTTGCTATTTAATTCCATCTTTCCTCTCGAAAATAAGCCCGTTCTAGAACATTCAATTCCAGGTTTGGAAAGAGAAAGCACGAATACCTTCGCTTTGGACGTAAGTAAACGCAGCAACATTTGATGAAAGTCGATCTACCGCGCAATCCTTCTTGTACCTATTTATTATGTTGTCACGACTTAGGACATAAACACGTCTTTTGTCCTACTCGCTAGCCCCTGGTGCTCTTCCTGTCCGTTGTGAAAATAATTGGAATGATTAAATACTGTGAATTTGCTGATTGTTCATAAAGAAGCACATGAAATCGAGCAGAGGGTTAATATTGAAAATAATCGCAAGTTTCAGTTATCTATTTCTTGACACAGGCTAAACAAAGGCGGAAAACAAGCTTGGTAATTTAAGGGCATTTTATGGTGATGGTAAGCAAAAAGCCGTACTTATTTCTTCGCCTTTGAATGAACATCAGGACACCGAAAATTTGGATCTGGCATAACTTGTAAAAAATACATTAATGTGTAACAAATAAGTGATTGAATCTAAAAATATAATATTTTTACGATAGCGAGTTCTAAGTATGTGATTTGCAAAAAAAATGTCCGGCTTATAAAATCTGTTAGAATTTATAACCAGCTGTAAAAGATAAACGCTTTCCAAACCTCTTCCCAAACCTTTTTCCTTTCGTATAAACAAAGTGCGGATAATTTATTCAGGTTAAAAGAGGATATCACACTTCTAGCTTATCACACAAAACTGACTATGTCAAAGCGAATGGCTGCCATAAAAAATGAAATCCGGGTACAAATGCAGATATGGTAAGCACACATTTTCATCCAAGTCATTTCGATACAAATTTGTGAGCACTGTTCCGTTTGCCCCTTCCAAAATCACGAACGAAAAGATCAAAATGAATACAGACAAAGATCAGAAGGAGAGATACAAACATAAGTCATTAGAGAGGGTACCGGACAAGTGAATTAAGGGTATGGCTTTACTGTGGATAGCCTTTCTCGTACTTTCTCATTCTCCCCGTAGCAAGAATTTTGTCGTTGATGACATTCATCGTGAACAAAGCTGCAATTCCGAGGAAACAAGCGACAATGATACCGGCCAGGGCCTGAAATGGAAAAGACTTTAAATCAGATGACTGGGAAAGTCTAACCCACCAAAGTTTACTCTAGTGATTTTTTTCCCGTTTGAAAATGATTTTAGAAACATCAAAAGAGCGGATTTAATTGACATACAATTTGTGTCAAAAATTCTACCCTTCGGAGGCAAGTTCATTTAGTGGGACAAACAGTAACTTGACACTTCTACATTTCAGGACCTTGTTCACTCAGATAAAAGGGTATATGATGTACTCTTTATCCGTACAGGAACACCTTAACTGTAATGAAGACTTAGATGATGCTGTGTAAAAAGGACGAATCGTCTACGTCAATTTCAAAGCATTCATAAAAAATTATCCTAGCATTGAGCAGCTCTCTTTGTTCAGCAACAAAGAGACAGCAGCTGTCTTGAATGTATGATATCCTTGTCTGCACTTCTTGACTATGTGACGTACTTTCTACTGCTTTGCTTTTCTGGGACCACAGAAAAGTCAAGCAATCTGTTTGGATCATTTCCTATGGGGGGCCAATCCTACGTAAGAGCATCATTTTCCATGTGTAAACTCAAGTCAGGACACAATTTCCTTTACCCTTATTTATGACCAAAGAAAATTAGCGAAGACTATCGAGCGTTACCATCAGACGTAAAAGCATGTCACTCACTCCAATCCATCCAAATCGTTCTCCGGTTTCGATAATAGTTCGCTGTGAGATCGTACCACCAATACCAATGATGATTAGCCATCCCATGATCCCGGCCGTCGAGAAAATCACTTCCTAAAATAATCTAAATTATACTGCAGTAGAGGCAAAGATTAGCTTGACTTTAACTCTGTTCGATAATAGGGTAAATTATGAGAGATTCTTCAACTTACCGATAGAGAGCAATTTGTCAGAGGTGTTTCTTCTCCTCGCCTTGTAAGCAAGAAATACATCACGATAGAGACGATGCAGTATAGTAATGTAAGAGCTGCGACAATGTAGATGAGCACAATCTCATAATTGATGGAGATGTATGCAGTGACATACGTCGGGTCAAGTAGAATCAGAACAACGATCGTCAGCAGCTGAAAAATAATATAGAACAGTAGGAAAATAAATTCATTTACCAAATTTTGCCTTATGGACCAGCTGCCAACACTATCTCCTCTTCACTCTATATCAAAACACTCAAAGGATATTTGAGGATTACAGATCGACTGGGGCAACGGCAGAGTCTCGGGGAACATAACAGTTTATATCTACTGATGTCATAAAGAGTCAAATGTTAGGAGTTGCAAAAAAGCAAGGCAAAAACAAGTCTCTTTTCAAGCACGGAGACAGCGGACTATCCTTGAATCGAGCTGAATCCTTGAGAGTATCAAAATTCCATTTTTATCAGGTGGTCTGATTGTGAGTTGAATGCTCACTATAAACACTTGGATCTGTTTCTATTCCTATAGGAAGCAAAAAAGTATTAATTTCATGCTTATGCAGTGTCCAACAATTTTTAAAAAATCGTTCCTGCAACTTGTAACAATTCCAGTCGTCTTTTTAGAAATAGTTTGCTTGCAACTTGAATCGTCCTCAAAAAATCTTATGAGAAATATAAACGGAGGAGGAAAAAAAGAGTTTTTGTGCAACAGAATTTTTTTGGAATTCTTCATGTGACCCTACGCACCAGTTCTTCTTTCAGAGGCGGAAAAAATCCTTCAACTTATCCATTACTCTACTTCTCAAGACTTAGACTTCTACACGTCATCTTTTCTTTGAAAGCGTCCGTTCTTTTAAGAGAACAGGCAAAACATAGACGAATAGTGCAGAATTGTAAGCGAAGGATCAATAAAGTACTTGCTTCGGAAAGCATAATATTGACTTTTGCTACAATCCAAGTCCACTCGGAATTTATTTCCTAAAGCTACGGTCTTATACGGTCACAGCTCGTTGATGTCCTGCAGCATCCCCAACCCTCATCGGTTAGATATATTTGAAATTTCGAGTAAAAAACTTTCTGTAATAAATTGTGAGAATAATAACATCGTTCTATGGCGGTAGCCAGCTGGTTGCTCATGGCTCGTACCGGATAAACAAGAGGGCGAAGGGGAAAGGTAAATAGTGACCGGACGCGTAACGTTTGTTTGCCGACGCTTCTAGCGACGACATGTACGAAATTTGTTAATACCTAAGCGACAGTACTCGAAATCGAAAGTGGTATTATGGAACAAATAAACCGCACACGTAACGACTTGAAAACTAAAATGTGTATGCAAGCGCATTGGAAGGACTAACATTTGCAATAAAATTCGATTCACTGATTTGTCTTGAGCCCATATGATATGATTGCTGAATTTAGCATACTAAAAAATACAGAAACATACTCTTAATACATTAAGCACATTTGTAGCGCATTTACATCGATTTAATCGGATTACTATTCCCTAATCTTTCATTAGACGCTAATACACGTCTTTGCGCAGAATTTGTTATTTTTATCTACTTTATACTAGCTTCAAAGACAATGTAAACAAGGAAACACTTAGCGGGGGAGACTAATCAGACATCTATTGATACCATTGTAGTGCAATATAGTGCAAACTTCCAGAGGGCAAACGAAACCAAAAGATAGCTCTTTTTGGCCTGGAAGCATTTGATACAAACTCCGAGGGCAGAACCAGAAGAAAGTGAACGGGTATTTCTAAGTTGTAGATATTTGTCATGTCTGAGGTGGCCATGAGTGAAGGACAGAAAAATAAAAAGATCCTGCTCCGTAAAATGAGCTCCCACTCTTCTGCCTAAATTCCGTTATTTGACTTTGTTTCCAAAAATAGCCATCATTACGATGATAACGTGTGTTCATTGCTCATGTTCTCAATCGTACAAGAATATTCTCACGTAAAGGAATCGATCGATCAATGGTGGTTTCAAGCCAATAAATTGTTACTTGCAAGAGGTCTTGTTCATTTATGACTAGAAGTGTAAATAAGAGGGCTAGGCCCCGTGCATTTTCTGATTTTAGTCAACGAACTTGGTTCACCTGATGGTGTTTGATACTACTGAAAATGACCTGACCGGAAAATAAGGAAATCAAATTTCGAGTTATGGAAACGAGCAGTAAGAGAAAGCTCTATCGGATTTGATGAAGGAATCTACACTTTCAGAATTTCAAATTTTTCATAAATCATTTTGTTTGTATTTTATGTATTTCGTTGTTCTTTTGTTTTTCTGTTGATATTTTCCAAGTTCGTAACAAGCGCATAAAACATTTCTTTACTCACGATGATCAAAATTTTAATGGCAGAACAGATGATGAGTTGATTCGGAATAGCCATGCTAGCAGGTGGTGCGTACGACACCGACGAGACGACGACTGCGTCGGCTGAATCATTCGTGAGCAAACAGTGCGTCGGCTCCCCCGATGATAGCGCGCTATTTCCATTTGCTCTGACTTTTCGCTTACATAATCGATAGCCACCCACTCCAGCCTCAAGGTATGCGAAGGTGAATCGTCATGATAGCTGTGAATTTTTGGCATTTTGGTGGAATCATCAAGCGCGAATCATAAAGCGCCTACGACGACTCATTACGGAACAGACCTACTATGAGGAGGCGAATGCAATGCGACGAACTCGTTGCAAGAAATATTGGAGGCCATATCACTATTGCTTGACTTTGGAGGGTACACGGAGTATTCTTAAATTCATATGTGCTGATTCATGGGCATTCTCCAAGGGAATATGGACTTTCAAGAATTTCCTCGTATGAGGAAATCTTCATAAGTTTATAGGCTTGTTGCAATGCTATTGTATTCGCTTATTTGCAGAATGGTGCTGCTCAACACCATTGCAATTGCAACAACCGTCGGACAATGAAAACAACAAACTGTGGATGATTTTGCAGCAACACAGTGCCCTCGCAGAGGATTCGCTTGTTTGCAACAGCAAATGGTGCTGCTCAGCATCACTGCACAGCATCGGTCAAGAAGTCCACACAAATCGTGGATGACTTTGCACTGCAAGACACGGAGGCAGGCAGCTCATTTCGGTTCACATGCTCCAATGAAGTATGTCTCCCCAGCACACTTTATATGAGCACCACCTCAACAGGGGGGGGGGGGGGTGATACTCAGACACCCAGTGCGCCCTTGTTAGATTTTTCTCCGGAGGGGAAACGTCCACGGTTTTGGCCATTGAACAGGTATGGACAATGCTGCCGCGTCTTCCCCCTGCCCTCCTATACCCTACAAGGAATTTCGGAGTCCAGTTGGACCTTGAATTGGGAGACGAGTCAGAAAAAATCATCTCAGCAACAACATCGCCGCCACTACTCGCCCTCCTCTCACAACTACAACGCACCTGGACACTTAAGACTTGAATGGCGAAACTGAAATAATTCTTATAATTATTCGGAATAAAAATTTGACATTACAAATATGATGTTTAATTCGAAATGAGTGCAATTTATGAAGAATGGTCAAAACCTAGGAATATGGCCATCAATTCTCGCCGGGACCCCGCCCCGGATCCCAAAATACGATTTCCCCCTTTGCTTTTTCGGGACAAAAACGATATCCAGCTTGTGAAAGCGCAACCCCGCGGGCCCTGTTTTGCAGCAACATAGTGGCCTCACAGGGAATTCGTTAATTCGCAACAGTAGAATGGTGCTGCTAAACACCATTGCAACATGCATCAGTCCTTCCAACCTGCAAAAGTGTGGATGACTTTGCAGCAACGTGGCCTCAATGGGAATTCGTTAGTTTGCAACAGCAGAACGGTGCTGCTAAACACCATTGCAACAGGCATCAGTCCTTCCAGCCGTGCAAGAGACGGACTTACAGCAACACAGTGGCCTCACAGGTAATTCGTTAGTTTGCAACAGCAGAATGGTGCTGCTAAACACCATTGCAACACGCCTTAGTCCTTCCAACCTCAAAAGTGTGGATGACTTTGTAGCAACACAGTTGGCTCACAGGGAATTCGTTAGTTTGCAACAGCAGAATGGTGCTGCTAAACACCATTGCAACAGGCATCAGTCCTTCCAACCTGCAAAAGTGTGGATGACTTTGCAGCAACGTGGCCTCAATGGGAATTCGTTAGTTTGCAACAGCAGAACGGTGCTGCTAAACACCATTGCAACAGGCATCAGTCCTTCCAGCCGTGCAAGAGACGGACTTACAGCAACACAGTGGCCTCACAGGTAATTCGTTAGTTTGCAACAGCAGAATGGTGCTGCTAAACACCATTGCAATAGCATCCATCAGTCCTTCCATCCGTGCAAGAGACGGATGACTTGCAGCAACACAGTGGCCTCACAGGTAATTCGTTAGTTTGCAACAGCAGAATGGTGCTGCTAAACACCATTGCAACACGCCTTAGTCCTTCCAACCTCAAAAGTGTGGATGACTTTGTAGCAACACAGTTGGCTCACAGGGAATTCGTTAGTTTGCAACAGCAGAATGGTGCTGCTAAACACCATTGCAACAGGCATCAGTCCTTCCAACCTGCAAAAGTGTGGATGACTTTGCAGCAACGTGGCCTCAATGGGAATTCGTTAGTTTGCAACAGCAGAATGGTGCTGCTAAACACCATTGCAACACGCCTTAGTCCTTCCAACCTCAAAAGTGTGGATGACTTTGTAGCAACACAGTTGGCTCACAGGGAATTCGTTAGTTTGCAACAGCAGAATGGTGCTGCTAAACACCATTGCAACAGGCATCAGTCCTTCCAACCTGCAAAAGTGTGGATGACTTTGCAGCAACGTGGCCTCAATGGGAATTCGTTAGTTTGCAACAGCAGAACGGTGCTGCTAAACACCATTGCAACAGGCATCAGTCCTTCCAGCCGTGCAAGAGACGGACTTACAGCAACACAGTGGCCTCACAGGTAATTCGTTAGTTTGCAACAGCAGAATGGTGCTGCTAAACACCATTGCAATAGCATCCATCAGTCCTTCCATCCGTGCAAGAGACGGATGACTTGCAGCAACACAGTGGCCTCACAGGTAATTCGTTAGTTTGCAACAGCAGAATGGTGCTGCTAAACACCATTGCAACACGCCTTAGTCCTTCCAACCTCAAAAGTGTGGATGACTTTGTAGCAACACAGTTGGCTCACAGGGAATTCGTTAGTTTGCAACAGCAGAATGGTGCTGCTAAACACCATTGCAACAGGCATCAGTCCTTCCAACCTGCAAAAGTGTGGATGACTTTGCAGCAACGTGGCCTCAATGGGAATTCGTTAGTTTGCAACAGCAGAACGGTGCTGCTAAACACCATTGCAACAGGCATCAGTCCTTCCAGCCGTGCAAGAGACGGACTTACAGCAACACAGTGGCCTCACAGGTAATTCGTTAGTTTGCAACAGCAGAATGGTGCTGCTAAACACCATTGCAATAGCATCCATCAGTCCTTCCATCCGTGCAAGAGACGGATGACTTGCAGCAACACAGTGGCCTCACAGGTAATTCGTTAGTTTGCAACAGCAGAATGGTGCTGCTAAACACCATTGCAACACGCCTTAGTCCTTCCAACCTCAAAAGTGTGGATGACTTTGTAGCAACACAGTTGGCTCACAGGGAATTCGTTAGTTTGCAACAGCAGAATGGTGCTGCTAAACACCATTGCAACAGGCATCAGTCCTTCCAACCTGCAAAAGTGTGGATGACTTTGCAGCAACGTGGCCTCAATGGGAATTCGTTAGTTTGCAACAGCAGAACGGTGCTGCTAAACACCATTGCAACAGGCATCAGTCCTTCCAGCCGTGCAAGAGACGGACTTACAGCAACACAGTGGCCTCACAGGTAATTCGTTAGTTTGCAACAGCAGAATGGTGCTGCTAAACACCATTGCAATAGCATCCATCAGTCCTTCCATCCGTGCAAGAGACGGATGACTTGCAGCAACACAGTGGCCTCACAGGTAATTCGTTAGTTTGCAACAGCAGAATGGTGCTGCTAAACACCATTGCAATAGCATCCATCAGTCCTTCCATCCGTGCAAGAGACGGATGACTTGCAGCAACACAGTGGCCTCACAGGTAATTCGTTAGTTTGCAACAGCAGAATGGTGCTGCTAAACACCATTGCAACAAGCAATCGCACAAAATGTTGAGGACTTTGCTGCATCACGTTGCGGCTCAACTATTACGGAGAGGTGCATATAGACTTCCACGGTAGGAGCTGTACGGTAGGCTAGGTTTCAGTAATCTTTCCAGTTAATTGTTCATGGTAGATTACTCAGGAAGCTCTGAGTTATCTACCATGATTAAACGCTCCTTTTAAACTGCTTGCAAGCCGGTATAAATCTGGCTACCGTACCCAAACGTCAATGTGTATAGAAGATGCGCCTCGTCGAGCTGGAAGTGTCTTGCATTTCGTCCATCCAAAGCAAGATGTGGCAGTGCTACGCGAATTTCGGTAAACTCCGCGGTTTCTATTCACCAGTTACGAGAAGTGCTGTAGGGAAGTTATAGTTTGCAAAACATTGTTTTACATGCTGCAAATCACTGCCAAAGATTTTAATACATACTAGCTGGCTTACCCGGCTCCGCCGTATCCGGACCAAACTTGGCACACATACACTTCGGGCCCCGGCGGGTGTCACAGTCCACTTTTCGTTATCGATCGATGTCGATTTTACCGATTTTTATCGATTTTTTGGCAGAGTTCACCTTCAGGGCTAGGAGTTGGCACAGGAGGGAAGTGAGCATGGGGATTCCGAATACAATATTAGTTTTCAGGATCGTCCATTACTTTTATCGATTTTATCGATTTTTTTGCAAAGTTTGAGCTACGGGGCTGGGAGTTGGCACAGGGGGGAAGTGAGCATGGGGATTCCGAATACAATATTAGTTTTCAGGATCGTCCATTACTTTTATCGATTTTATCGATCTTTTTGCAAAGTTTGACCTGCGGGGCTGGGAGTTTGCACAGAGGGTAATCGAGCATGCAGATTACGAATACAATATTAGTTTTCAAGATCGTCCATTACTTTTATCGATTTTATCGATTTTTTGAAAATTTGAGCTAGGGGGCTGGAATTTGGCACAGGGGTGTTCGAGCATGCTGATCACCCCCCTTGGGGATGATCAGCATGCTCGATTACCCCCCTGTGCGAACTCCCAGCCCCGTAGCTCAAACTTTGCAAAAAAATCGATAAAATCGATAAAAGTAATCGATAATCCTGAAAACCAATATTGTATTCGGAATCCCCATGCTCGATTACCCCCCTGTGCCAACTCCCAGCCCCGTAGGTGAACTCAGCAAAAAAATCGATAAAAATCGATAAAATCGATATCGATCGATACGAAAAGTAGCCTATGACACCCGCCGGGGCCCAAAGTGTATGTGTGCCAAGTTTGGTCCGGATCGG